CTGTAGACTAGAAATGTCCGTGCCTCTGTTTCTCACCTGTACGATGGGCAGCACAGCCGCCCCATGGCCGCGTGTGTGTGGCGGCGCCCAGCAGAGATGTCTCACTCCCGCCCTTCCAGGCCTTGTGCCATGGGAGGAGTGAGCACACTGGTCCGCACCCTGGCCGTCGTCATATCGTGAGGCAGTCTTGCTACCCACGGTGTGGAGCAGGTGGCCCTGGAGGCTCACTCAGACTGACACACTCTGACACTCAGACTGACACACTGACTTGTGACCTCCGTTTTACAACATACAACTCAGTTAGACTGGAGTCTCGGGCGACGGGATTGGGGCGCCCGGAACCCAGGAGAACCTCATCTTGGAAGGCTGCCTGGTGTCCCCACTGGGTGCCTGGCTGCTGGAGCCCTAGGAGGCCTGGAAGCTGCACTGCCTGAGTGTCCTCCAGGCGGTTGTCTGCTGACACAGCTGTCTGTGGAGCATTTGCTCTCCCTGGCTAGCACTTCCTTGTCACCTTGGTGATTGACAGAGGCAGCCTGCCAATGCGGGACAGGATGGCGCACAGTGAGCAGACAGGGACGCGGAGGCCCTTCCGTCCCACTGTGTTCCCTGTGGCTCTTCCCTCCCTGGCTCTGCCCTCCCACTTCCTCTTGTGGAAATGTTCAGCCTAGGTCTGGGGGAGGTAGGAAATGGATGCAGATACACATGACTTTAGCCTTGTCTTCCACAAGCCTCGGGCCCTGCGTGTCCTGGCCAGAAATTAGGGGACAAGGAAACTTCTTACTCCAGAGAAGAAGTGGCCCCTGGCTGGGGCTGGGTTTGGGAGAATGGAGGAATTTCATGGACCCCGAGAGAGAGGATCAGGCAGAGGGTCAGGCACCCAGCCTGTCCCCAGAGAGGAAATGGCAGCCCTGCAGGTTTCTGTTCCCTCTGCAAGCCTGGAAAGTGTTCGAGCCGATGAACCGGAGAGGCTCATGGGATGAAGGAGCGTCATCTTGCAGTTACCAGGAGCCCCATGCGTGTGCCCCCCGCCCTGCCTGGCACCGGCAAGCCTGCTCAAGCTGCCCCACAAGCCAGGGGAGAAGGGATCCCAGGACTGAGGTAGAGATTCCCACTGTCCCAGTGAAACAAACTCTTGGATCCAGAAATTAGAGAAGGAAGCTAAATGATAACACGAAGTAATATTTCTTTCACTGCCAAGTTGGCAGACTACAATTAATACCTGACACATGCTAATGTGCAAACTGAGACTCCAGATGGAGGACACCAGGTAGCCCAAGGCTATTGGGCTAGTATGGAGACGAGGCAGGGTCAGAACTGGAACCTCATCTGTGGAACACTGGGCCCAGCACTGCCTACCCTAAAAGTGAGTCCATCAAGAGGAACTGCTTTGGGGAGGCTGAGGCAGGAGGATCACAAGTTCAAACCCAGCCTGGGGAACTTAGTGACTTCGTGAAATCCTGTCTCAGAATAAAAGTTTTTAAAGAGCTGGGATGTAGCTCAATGCAAAGACCTGGATTTAATCCCCAGTGGTACTTTAAAACAAAGAAACGAGAGAGAGAGAGAGAGAGAGAGAGAGAGAGAGAGAGAGAGGGGCTTGTTAATATGGGGAGATAAATACGGGGAGAGGTGGAACAGAATGAGAAAGCCGTGTGTACCAATATGAAATGATCTTTAAGATACACTACTGAGTGAAAAGGAAAGTGACAGGAGCTTACTTATTCTTGTGCATGCATTCAGCCGCCAGGACACAGAGGCAGTATCCTGACTGTGTGCTGGAGGGGATGGGCCAGGGTAGAATGCTTTCCTTGCAGAACCTTCTAGAATTTTTGAATTTTGAATCAAGAGAATTATTATCTATTAAAAAAATAGAGTGACAGAGACTCTCCTTGTTCAACTCGTAAATTTGACGGAACAGACCCCCTACTGAGCAGCCCGCTGTGCCAAGCCCCTGGTGGCACTGTGGGCTCTGCGTGGTGAACAGGGCGCTGTCTCTGCCCACCGGGAGCCCACTCACCCCAGGCAACCCTGGGCAGCGGCATGGACAACCACAGAACTCCACAGCCGCTGCCCTGTCAGCCAGCCGGCGGGTGAGGGTGGGCGTCCGCCCGGGCCCAGCCTCTTCGGGGCCTGGTGACACTGGGGGGTCTGAGCTCCCACTTCTCTGGCCCACACTGCCCTGTCCAGCAGGCATCGGGGAGGGGGACGCCTGAATGGCCTCCCTTCTGCACCTTGTGGAAGAGGCGCCCACAGTCTGCCCTTTCTCCTCCCGCTCTAGGCCCTCACTGCTTGTAAGCAAGACAGTGGCTACTGTGAGGGTCGGAGGAACAGTGAGGCCCCGGTGGATGTCAGTCTGGGCAGGTCTGGCCTCTGGAAACCCTCCATGGTGGAGCACCACCCCCGCACGCAGCTCCCCTTGTTCTACCCCCAAGCCCACCATCCCAGGCTCCCCTGGGGGCAGGCAGCAGCTGGGGCAATCTGGACATCTGCCTCCCACCACTTGCCCTGCACCTACTCCAGGTCCGTGGAAGGGGCAAATACCTCTGGCCACAGCAGGAAGGGATAAATACCTGCCCTGAGGTGATGCTACCCCCGGGGTGTCCCCAGACTCTGGGAGAGGAAGCTCGAGGAGGAGGAGTCTCATGGTCTCAGGGGCTGGCTGCATGAAACTAAGGAATCACAGGATGCACCACCGCCAGCGGTCCTGCCCTGACCGGGTGTATCCTGAGGTTCTCACTTCCGAGTGCAGATGAGGAAACCGAGACTCTGACTTGCTGCTGCAAGACCTGCTCGCTGGGTAGCTAGAGCGTATCGGAGCCGCCATTTAACCCAGGTGTCCTAACTCCACATCTCAGGCTCCCTTCACACTATTGTTGGAAGAGAATTTGGAGGCCACTTAGCAGAACGTGTATTTCACAAAGGATGAATCGAGGTCAGAGCAGGAGAGGGCATCTTCGCTCCACGGCGTGGAAGAGGTAAAGCGGGTCTCAGGCTCCTGGGCCCCTGGCCCGGCTGGAGAGAGGCAGGTTGGTTGGGGTGACCTGACCCCGTTCGTCCCCTTCACGGTGTTCCTGATCTGTTTGGCTTCTCGCAGTGGCCTAATGTCGTTCAGGCTAGGCAGGGAAGTCATTTTTGTTTGGTTCTTTACTGAGGTATAAACTAACAAATATACACGTGTCTAGTGAATTTCAAGTAAATTAAGCAGTGTTACTAATTACAGTCACCGCGCCGTACGTTGCACCCCTAGCCTGTCTCACCTTACAACTGAAAGTGAGGGCTCTTTAACTGCAATTTCCCAACCTTGCCCACTCCTCAGACACCAGGGCCACCTCCTCTCTTTGCTTCTGTGTGTTCTCAGGTCACCCTGAGGGGGGTGACGAAGGCCCTGGGCTGGCTCCAGGGAGAGAGCTGTAGAGCTCTGGCCTGGAAGTTAATGAGAGAGGAAGCGAGGAGGAAGCATTTGCCCTCACACAGAGGCACTCACATCCATTGTTTTAAAAAATCTAAATACACCGATATTTGAGAGAATCAGCACAAAAGAAACAAGACTGGGCCTGAGCTGGGGTCCTTGTCAAAGCCGGGTGTTAAGTAATGGGTTATTAGTTAATAGTCTCCTGTGTAAATGTGTACGTGTTTTTAAATTTCTATAATAAAAGCTTTTTAAATTAATGCGCTCTCAGCCCTTTGGGTGCCAATTAGCAAACCACGCTCTAGGCTCTCCTGATGGTCTCTCGCCTCCAGCCCAATCCCAGCTGCATGGCCTGGGTGGGGAGTGAGGATGGGGGGAAGGCTGAGGCAGAAGGATTGCAAGTTCAAGCCCAGCCCAGCCTGAGCAACTTAGCACTTTAGGAAGACCCTGTCTCAAATTAAGACATTTTAAAAAGGGGGCTAGGGATGTAGCTCAGTATGAAGGCCCAGTTCTGTCCCTAGGATGACAAAAAATAAAGTGCTTCACAATTTACAGTGTCATTTAATCATCCCAGCCCCAGGAAGTAGAGGTTATTCCCCATTCTAGACCCGAGGAAACAAGTTCCTCCTTATCTTTGCCCCAAATCACATAGCCCAGGGGAGGGGTGGAAGGAGCCCCTGTCTGGGCCTTGGCAGCTCATCATGGGCCCAAGGACACAGAAGTAAATTCCATTAAATCTCTCAGTAATCACCGGGCATGGCAGGAAGTTTTGCTGGTTGCAGCTGAACTGGAAGTGTGTTGTGGTCTTATGAACGAGGAAGATCCTTAAAGGCCATAATGATGCTTGCCTGGCATGCCAACCTGCCTTGGGGAAATGTGGGCTTCTCCACCAGTCTGTGTGGTGACCCCAAATCTCACCTGAGTGTGATACAAAGAGCCGAAAGAAAGTTCCAGCGTTGCCCATAGGACCCTTGGGTCTTGCATCAAACCCAAATTCTGCTTTCACCTGGCTTTGTGACCTCAGGCTGGGCTTTCCCTTTCGGTCCTCAGACCAATCCTCTATCTGGCAAGCACAGCAACAGCAGACCCCACTCCCTCAGCAAGCTCCCTCCTGGAGAAGCCACCTTGGGAAGGATTCTCACTGCTGGGGAAGCGTCCCAGACCCCTTGCTGGGCTGGAATTTAACACCAGGTTGTGACAGTGTCCCGCGCTAGAGGCTTATTAGGAAGAATTCAACAGCCCGGTGCTGGACCTAGCCATCCAGTCCAGCCCAGCCCAGCCCGGGCCTGCACAAGGCTGCTTTCCACGCCTTTTCCTCTGTTAATTCGGCATGTTTTCCAAACACAGGTCAAACAATCTCCCTCCAGAAGCAGCAGCAGCAGCAGAAGGAAACATTATTAAAGTGAGTCCGTTAGTGGGCATGGTTCAGGGATGAAGTCTTTGGAGTTTTGGCTGCCAAATAAAGACGTTACTGTTGTCATTCCTCCTTTCCCAAGCGCCCTCCCTCTCTCTCCTCTCCTCCCTCCCTCCCTTCCCTCGTCCTCTCTTCCTCTCCCTCCCTGCGATCTGCCCCTCCCTCCCCCTAACCTAACCTCCCCACCCCAATAGGATCTGGTGGAAGAAAAGTCAGGCAAACACCACTGGGAGATCAGAACTTCTAGCTGGCTCTCTGCTGCCACAGCTCCACCAAAAGGGTGGGGAGGAAGAGGAACATCGACCCAGAGCTCAGAGGAGAGGCAGGTGTGCTCAGGTAAGCCAGGCAGTGGGCAGAGGACGGAGACCTGGAAGACTCCTTCCTCCTCCACCTTCGCTTCTTTTCCAAGGAGCTCAAATGCAGTCCCCCCCTTTCCCCCCTGCACCCTCTCCCTCTTCCCCTCTCTATCCCTGTGCACCCCTCTTCTTGTTCACTGCTGAAGTTAAACTTTCCTGGTGCAGATGTTTGTTGTAGCATGGGGAGCTGTGTCGCACACAGAATTTCCACAGATCAGGTGTTGCCATAGTAACCGGACAGCAGAATGCACTTCCCTGCACCTTTCATGTATGGTCACACATTGCTGCACGCACGCGCGCGCACACACACACACACATCTGTCTCTCACCCACCTCCCCAGCTGTAAGAGCAAAGGGAAAGTGTGTCTTCCCACTGAGAGGTCAGAGCCAGAAGAAAATCATGTGTTCAGAGTCCAGGCCAAGCAGGGAGCAGGGGCTGAAGGATGTCTTCGATCTTTCCAGTTTAATCGGGTAGGAGGGAGAAGAAAAGTGGCTTTCCAACCTGATCAGTATCTTCTCAGCAGCCTGAATTTCTTAGCGTCCCTGCTCCAAGCCACTTGGCTTTTAGAAGGAAAAAGACCAGTTAACCTAGCCTACAAGTCCTGGAGGTCCTAATCCCCAGCTCTGGGGCAGTTGGTTCACACACACACACACACACACTCCCTGCAGGCAGCCCGAAAATTTTTCTTTGAAACCATTCTGAAATTATCCCAACCATTTAGATTGGCAAGGGGACCTTATGTAGGGGGGGCAAGGGGGACAGTTGTTCTTTAAACAGTCAGAGAAGGGGAAACTGAGGAGATCCCTGCACTGTCTCCCCAGCTCATTGCTCTCCAGTGGCAGAGAGGGGTCCCACATCGGGCAGGCTGAGGGCTAGGACAGCATTCTCAGGCACAGATGATCTGGGGAGTCACCTGGGTGGGGAGGGGCAGTGTGAGGGGCTTCACTGAAGCCTCACTGAGTGGTCACCAGCGGCCTGTGGTTGTTTTACCCCTGAGGGGTCCTAATGGCCAGCCATGGCTGGAGATGCTGGGCCTGGGCCTGAGAGAGGCCTTGCACGGGACCCACAGAGCTCACTGGGCAGCAGCCACATGGTGGCCTGGAACAGGAGCTCTGGAGATCCCAGCAGGACGCTTCTTTGGAGAGAGGGTGTGAGCACCAAAAGGATTAGGGGAGATCCTGTCTCGCAGGCCCAGGCAGCCATGTCACTGAGGGATTCCAGACAGTTCCCTCTGGATGTCTTTGCCTGCCCCAGGGCCTTGTCCTGTCCCTTCTGGGTTCCTAATGGGCTCTCAGAGGGTGGGCTGGGCAGTAAGTTCTTTACTCCCTTCCCCTCCCTGCAGGGCAGCCCCAGTTACTGGCCACATGAGTGAAGCATCTCACGGCTGGGAGGGACAAGAGCCAGGTCCAAATGGTCGGAGAAGTCATGGATGGAAGTGGGAACCCGAAGCCAGAGGAGAAGTCTTGCGCCTTCACTGGCCCATGAGCCCCACCTGCTGCAGAAAGCACAGGGCTGGGTTAGTGAAGTGGGCAGAACCAGCCTTTGCTAGGTGGCAGGGTCTCTCCAACTAGTGGACTCTGAGTCCCCAGTGTGGTCTCTTGCACCTCCGGCTCATTGCAAGGAAGCTTCCTGGGGGCCAGGGATTTAGCTCAGTGGTTTCGCCACCTGCTGTGCAAGCACAAGGACCCGAGTTTGATCCGTGGTACCAAAAAGAAGAAAAAAGAAAGAAAGCTTCCTGTCACCAGGCACTGGGTGGGACTGCCTCAAGCCAGGCTAACGGGGGGAGAAAGGGCCTGAAATAATACCAGAATCCCTTAGCATTGACTGGCCACTCATGTGTACAACTCACTGAACCCTCTAAACAATCCAGTAAGAAGTTGTTGACTGGAGGTCCTGGGTTGAATCCCCAGTACCCCCCCCCCGCAAAAGTTGTTGCCCATTTCACAGATGAGGAAACTGAGGCTTGACCAATGGCAGGCAACCCTGCTAAACAGTTGCAGGGTTGAGACCCAGATCAACAACCTTCCAAGGCATGGGACAGATTCTTCTTAGCTTTCTTCAAGAGGAGGAAGGCAGAGTGGAGATGGAGGGCAACAGGGTGTTGGAGGAGAAAGCCCCTCACTGTTCTTTCTTCCCTGTCCCTCAGAATGGAAAATCTGCTCTTCCGGACTAGCTGCCTAAGGCTATAAAAACTTCCTTCTGCTTCCATTTCCCCTTGTGGTAGACACTGGGGAGACAGATGTTCTCTCCATAATAGTGTTATATTTATTTATAGAGCTTTTTGATCTGCAGCACATTTTAAAGTTGCTTGTGGCACTTTCTTCTGAGGACTGGTTGAGGAAATATAAGGATAGAAAAGATTTTATTGTCCCCATTTTACAGATAAGGAAACTGCCGCTCAGACAGGACCACAGCACCCCTTAACAGGGCCTTGACAGAGTCTGGGGCAGACTGGACGCCTTAACACATAAGCGGAGACCCCTGATGTCCCTGCTTCCAACTGCACTCTGCACTCCAAGAAAAGAGAAAGTGAGCAGAATGACTTGCAGACGTCTGGGCTTAGAAGAGAGAGAAGGGAGGGAAGAGAAGGTGACATCTTGATGTCCATGGGGACAGCTCTGGGGCAGGGCACCTGTCTGGGTTAAGCCATGGGGAGGCATGAGGGTGACCATGTAGACAGGAAATCTGCAGTCCGAAAATTTCCAGTACACAGCATGGAGTAAGCCTGGAGCTAACATTGCCTGATCCTGGGAGCCCAGCCCAGCCCCAGCCCCTCCACGCAAAGCTGATTATTCTTAATTAAACTGCTCCTAAGGATTTCACAAACCCATTTGGTCCTCAGCCCTGCCCAGCCCTGGACATAAACATTGTACCAGCCCTGGAATCTAACCTTAAATGAACGGGACAGATAGGAACAGCTGGGAAGAGGTCTGCTTCACTCTGACAATGAGGAATTTCTCTAGAGCAATCTCTTTCGTAAACAAATAAACAAGTCCTTGCCATGTGTAGAGATGTTATACTATACAGTGCCTTCAAATGCATGATCTCATCTGATCCTCACACAGATTGGGAGCTGGGGGCCCAGGGAAGAGAGTCAGAGTCAGGATTCAAGCCCAGAGCTGCATAGTTGGAACTGAGATTTTAATTTTAAGCTCCCTTGGGAAATGTTCTTAAATGTAGAGAATTTTAGGTTAGGAAAAGAAACTGCTCTTCCCTTCCATGGAGCAGCAGCTTTTTGAGAGCCACACACATCCTAAGGGACCAAGGGAGCTCATGATTGGACAGAAGGTTCTAGAAGCTTCTGGATACAGCAGTGGCCATGGAGCAATGTGGGAAGCACTATGAGTCCCTTGGGGTCCAGGCACCTCCAGTCTGTCCCTGGGATTCTGGCGGTAGAGACCTAGGCTATCCCAGAGCACTGCCACACAGAATGGCTGTGTGGTCAGAGCTGCCCTGCCCAGCAGCCAAACTCTGCAGTACGGGGTGTGGGCCCCTGAGAAAGGCCTTAGACACGAACACTGCTTCCTTGTGCACTCCTGAGCGCACAGACAGCTCTGACCCAGCCTGGAGCTGAGAAGGGGGATGCCGGATCCAGATCCCGGGACACCGGCCCCTTGCCCCTGCCCCGGGAGCACATCCTAGGGAACCTCCCGTAGGCCCTGGGAGGAGCTTGGCCAGCTCCTGGGGATGGAATGTGAAAGGGTCAAAAGGATGAGTGGGAAGATGGGACACGCTCTCAAAAGGTCTGGCCCTGGAGAAGGGGATGAGAACAGCCTGTGTCCACTGTGCCTGAGAAGGGGCAGGCCCTGCCGAGCAGAACTGCGACTAGCCTGCCCATTCCTGTCACCTCTGCCAGTGGAGACCAGGGCGCCCATGCCTGAGACACTGAGGAAGCCACGAGGCAGAGACCAGCAGCCCAAGTCCGCGGGCCTCACAGAGCACGCCCTGTCTTGGTGTCCAGCACCCCTGGGTGACCACGGCGAGGAAGGGAGCAGAGGAACCCGGGCCAGTGCCATGCTTGACACTGGGGTGGCATTTCTCACAGCACCCGCATGTTCTTGCTTATTTCCAGACTTCTGGGTGATTTGAAAACAAAGAAATCCAGAGAGGAAAAAAATCAGGGTAAAAAAAATCGGGGCTTAAAACATCCTTGCTTTTACAACATTAATACTTTAACCACTCCCTTAATTTATATGTAATATGACTGTGCTGGTTTCAAGAAAATTACAGGCTTTTTTTTAAGAGATAGGGTCTCAGTACCTAACCCAGGCTGCCCTGAACTCAGCCTCTTGAGGAGCTGGGATTATGGACATACAGCAATTACAGGCCTTATAAAGCATAAATTCATAATTTACCAATTATAAGTGATATGAAATCCAGTAACAAGGTTCAAATTTTAGTCCTTTCAGTGTATCTGGAGACTGTTAAATCTTCAACAGCAGATAAAGGCAGGAACCTAACGAGGTCCTTTGATAGGAGGCACAGGGAAAATGGCCTCGAGACCCCCTGGAAAAGCCTGCCTGGGAAAAGACTCTGTCATGGGACGAACAGAAGCATCAGGGCTGAAGAAGGTTCTGACCCTCCCTCCCTCTTCCTTCCCATGACCATGTATAGCACAAGGACAAACATAAGGGACACGAGGACATGCACATAGGGGTCAAGTGAGTGTGAGTTTGCCTTTGTGTAAGGGGCTGGAGAGGAGCATGAGGTATGTGTGCCAGAGTGTCAGGCCGGGGTCAAGACTGTGTGTCCGTGTGCGCAGACAGGTGCAGGTGAGCGCTATGCTGAGACGTTCTCTGCCCATCCCGAGTGCGCTCTGTCTCCTTTCCCGCACCTTGTCCTGTTCAGCTTCTCCTGAGCGTCTTGGCCCAGGACTCAACAGCCAGCGAGGGGCTTCAACCCTCACCTTTTGAGCAGAGGCAGGGGCAGATAGCACTGGCACACACAAGGGAAGAAGCAGAGTCCATGTGCACTCAGAGGGAGTGGGAGAGGCAGGGGGCCTGGACTGTAGGCTGGGGACATACTCCCAGCTACTCTATGGTAGAGAACCCAAGATCCCTGCATCTCTGATGTGTTCCAGAGCCTGGGACAGGGGCCTGGTCCCCCACAATTCTAAAGGTGCAAAGAGAACCAGTTGAGGCTATGTGGAAAGGGAGATCTTGGCTGGGAATGGTAGCCCCAGGGAGGGGACAGTATGGACACCCCATCCCTGGATTCTTCTGAACCTGGGCCAGGGGAAGAAGCCCATGGGAGCTCCCACTCTGCATCTGCAGCCCTGAGTCGGTTGCTATTTCCCTGGCTTTGATTCAATCCAATCACCTGGACCTTCTGAGGAGTCATCAGGACCAATGGGAAGGACCACCCCAAAAGATCCTTCAGCTCCCTGGTCTAACACCACTCAGGCTAGCAGGAAGTTCTTCTAGATACCCTTCTTCAGTATTACTAACTGCAAAGGAAATGGGGAACAGGAATAACAAGTCAAAAGAAAGAAAAGTGTTTCTTCACATCTTCCTAACCCTTTCCTGTTTGTTTTCCCAGGAGCCTCCACATCTGGGGAGGAATTCTTGGCATGGCTCTCGCTGGCAGAGACTAGCCCTCTGTGAGCCAAGTGTAGGGGAAGAGCGAGGCCTAGGCCTGGGCAGGAAGGGGTGGATGCGGGCTGTCTGAGTGCCCCATCCCTGCACAGGCTCTGCTCTGGAAGGCAGGAGATCTGGATTTCTGGTGGCTGTGAAATAGCTTCTCAGCCTCGGCAACCCACTTCTTCCCTCCCTCTCAGTTTTTGTAAACAGTGGGGTCTGGACTTGCTTGGTGAATTTCAAACCATTTTTAGCAATGAAACCTCTTCTGGTTCTCCCCGAAATGAATGCATTGGCTAAACCTCAATATATATACCAGATCTAAAAATTAGAGCTGCATGAGTCGGCACAAGAGGAGACTGGGGTAGCCCAGGGCCACCTCCTCTACCTGCCTCCCCCAGGGGCCTCAGAAAAGGCGCTGTGCAAAACCCACTGCATTATGGGTTGAAGGCCCCTCCCAGATGTTATGGCCAGGGCCCTATGGGTCATGGATCCTAACACCTCTCTGATAAAGGCAGGGATCATTTTCTTCTGGCACAAACAGAGAGACTGGGGCCAGAGAGGTGGTGGGCCTTCTCCAGAAAGCCTCAGGACCCTGATTCCCAGCCCAGAGTGCTTCTCCACCAGGACTCTCATCTGAGGTGTGGCTGGGCCTCAGGTGGGAATCAGAGCCCAGGGTCCTTGCCCCTCCCTCACCTGCTCTGCAGCTGCTGAGCTCTGCCTGCCTCCCCGGGGGCCAGTCCTGGGTGCCCGACCACAGAGAGGCCTGGCCTCTGCTCCCGAGGTCCAGCAGGCTAACAACCCCCGGTGTCCTCCTGCAGGTGCATCACCTGGATCATGAAGTCATCCCTCTGCTGGCTCCTCTCACTTCTCCTCTTGGCCTCTGTGGCCCAAGGCCAATCATCAAGGAGACCAAGACCTGGGCCCGGGCCCGGACGCAGGCCCCGGCCCAGGCCCAAGCCCACAGCCAGCTTTCCTCACCCCCATGAGCCAGCAGAGCCCACAGACCTGCCTCCCCCGCTGCCTCCTGGCCCTCCATCCATCTTCCCTGACTGTCCCCGGGAATGCCACTGCCCCCCTGACTTCCCATCGGCCCTCTACTGTGACAGCCGCAACCTGCGCACCGTGCCTGTCATCCCGGCCCGCATCCATTACCTCTATCTCCAGAACAACTTCATCTCTGAGCTGCCAGTGGAGTCCTTTAAGAATGCCACAGGCCTGAGGTGGGTCAACCTGGACAACAACCGCATCCGCAAGGTGGACCAAAGGGTGCTGGAGAAGCTCCCGGGCCTGGTGTTTCTCTACATGGAGAAAAATCAGCTGGAGGAGGTGCCCTCGGCCCTGCCCCCGAGCCTGGAGCAGCTCAGGCTGAGCCAGAACCTCATCTCCAGGATCCCACCTGGTGTCTTCAGCAAGCTGGAGAAACTGCTGCTTCTCGACCTGCAGCACAATAAGCTGAGCGACGGTGTCTTCAAGTCCGACACCTTCCAGGGCCTCAAGAGCCTCATGCAGCTCAACCTGGCCCACAACATCCTGAGAAAGATGCCGCCCAAGGTGCCTCCAGCCCTTCACCAGCTCTACCTGGACAGCAACAAGATCGAGAACATCCCCAACGGGTACTTCAAGGGTTTCCCCAACCTGGCCTTCATTCGGCTGAACTACAACAAGCTGTCTGACCGAGGGCTCCCCAAGAACTCCTTCAACATCTCCAACCTGCTGGTGCTCCACCTGTCCCACAACAAGATCAGCAGTGTGCCCGCCATCAGCAACAGGCTGGAGCACCTGTACCTCAACAACAACAGCATCGAGAGTGAGTGGGGTCGCCGTGAGGGCCCCCTCTTCCCAGAAGCCTCGGGGTGAGGGGGTCAGACCGCTTCCACCAGCTGGGGTGTAGCTCAGTGGGACAGTGCTTGGCTGGTGTGTGCGAGGCCTTGGGTTTGACCCTTGGCACCATGTTTTGTTTTAAGTATCCACTTTGGCTCTGCACTTCAAATCTTGGTCCTACCACTTGCTATATCGGTGTGACCTTGAAAAGATATCTATCTCTCCTGGGAAGTTTCTCCTCTGTGATAATGTGGCAATAATACCTTCTAGAACAAAGTAGACAGGCAGGTGGGGATTTAATACCCTAATATGGATGAAGGGTGCAGAACACCATGCTTGGAGGCCACTAGTTCTCTTTTTCCATCCCTTCTCTAGCCTCTGGCTCCATTCTTTGGGTAGATGTAGGATACACTCCAGCACGATCTCCTAAAAGCAAAACAGACACTGAATGCTCACCCTGACATATCCTGGGCCACCTGCTTCAAAAGCCAACCTTCAAAAGAGGTCTTCCCAGAGCTGGGCACCAGTTTGGAAGTGCCTGTGAAAGGGACCCAGAGAGGCACCCCTACGCAGCTGGTGAAAACGTGGCAGCTAGGAAAAGCTGCTTTTCGAGTCTCTCCGGAAGGCTGCAGTGTTAGACAGTACACTTAAGGGAGAGTCTGCCTACGCTACATTTACAGGGTCCGGGATTGGGGTGACAATTGCTGCCCAGAACAGGAGACTGGGACTCTCCATTTGGCTTCAATCAAAAACGTTCAGAAAAAAAGAAAAATGTTCGTTCTGAGCAGAGCATCAGAAGTAAGGCTCAGAAACAAAGGCAAGAGTAGTAACTGGTCCTTGAACAAAGCAGGCTCCATTCACACAAGCAGTGCAGCAGCTGAAGGAGAAAGGGGGCAAAGGGGAAAGAAAAGGACCCCAAAACAAGATTAAGGATACTTGGTTTCCAATCCAAAGAATGAGAGTTTGTTGAAGTTTCTACCATCTTGAAACAAATAGGCAGAACAGGCCCATTCACTTCTCTGGGATAATTATAAGAAGTGGGGAAGGATTATTTCCTTTTAAATCTTGCAAGAAACAAATTTGAGAAAATAGAAAAACTGTCTAATTTTACCCTGCAGGTAGCTATTAAAGTGGAACACTTAGCCCCAGGAAGCTGTGTAGGCTGAAGATACAGACAAAAAGGGTGCCTCAATTAATCAATGGCTGACGTTTCTACCAGGTTGTGCAAAAACAGGTTGCTGAGGGCTCTCTCAGCCTTTTGAAGTCAGAAAAATCACACCCCCGCTGCATGTGCTCACCCTCACCCCCACAGCCCTGCCATCACTAACAGGCAGAATGGGCCCGAATCAGTGAGGAGTGATGTTTTCAGTAGTGCTCCTGCTGCGCCACCCGTACTGTCCTGTGCAGTCTGCAGAATACCTTCATCACCAACATTCTCCCGCTGGTGCGCAGGGCAGGCAGGCACCAATTTCTCCATTCACAGGTTGGGGAACAAGCATCGGGGTGGTAAGGCCAGAGTCACGAAGTCCATGTGGAAAGTTCCACCTGTGTCAGGGCTCTTCCGCTACTCCAACAAGGAAGGAAGAAAAACAGGAGAGGAAGAAGTAAGCCATAATGATAACTCCTTCCTCTCTCCTCTCCCTCCCTCCCCTCCCTCTTCTACCTCCGTGATAAATAAATGAAGGCTTAGAAAGAATTTTAGGATGTGAATACAATTTAATAGAAGTAAAATCTAAATAGAAGACAATATGGCTAAAGTCATCTAACAAGAGGTGAAGGAAAAATGGAATCCCAGGCCATGGACACTTCAGGATCAATAGGTTCCTTATCTCCCCATCGCCCCTTTCTACTTCCTGTCATCCTCATTTCAGTTAATGTGATCATCTTCCATCCATCCTCATGTAAAACATCTGACCCACAGGGCAATCTCCAGAGTAATTCTCACATCCACCTGCTGGCTCCAGGACTACCACTAATGCTTCTCCGCACTTGGCTAGATTCATCTTTTTATAGTATAAACCTGACCAAGGGGATCTCTAAGGACCCCGGGTCGGCACTGCAGGATCTATTGCTCAGATACCTAACATGCGATTCTTCGGAGTGAATTGCAATATCAATTGTTGATCACTTCTAACTCAAATTATTCAACAAATGGATGAACTAAGCCTGGAGCTTAGGGCAACCTGTCTATGTCACACACTTCCAGAGTCGTCCAGTTTCAGAGAGAACTCTAGAGTCCTTTCTGCAAATTGTCCTTCACTTCCCCTTCCTCCTGTCCACCTCCCACAAACCCTGCTGCTGACTTTCTTCTTTCTCTGCAGAAATCAACGGGACACAGATTTGCCCCGGCAACCTGGTGGCCTTCCAGGACTTTTCCTCAGATCTGGAGAACGTGCCTCACCTGCGCTACCTGCGGCTGGATGGGAACTACCTGAAGCCACCCATCCCGCTGGACCTCATGATGTGCTTCCGCCTGCTGCAGTCTGTGGTCATCTAGGCCCTGCCCTGGCTGGACCTCCTCTGACTGCACTTGAAGGCTGGTGGCCCAGGTGCCTGGCCCGCCATTTTTCTCTGTCTCTCCCTCTTTTACTCCTCCTATGCCTCTCTTATCTCCCCTTTCTGAGAACAGGAAGTGCCGTGTGCTCTGCCGCAGCTCTGGAGAAAGATTTCCCAGGGCTTTATTTGCTCCCGCCCAGTTCAAAGTCACCCCCTGCACTCATGCCCAAACTTCTGGCGTTCCGAGGTGTCCCTGCTCCAGAAACACAGCCGACTATAGACCTCGCATCCCTTCTTCTCTCCTCCTCCACACATCGCTCCTGGGCAAGGCTGGGCCACAGACTGACATCTGAGCTTGATCCTGGCCAAGCGAGAAGCACAAGACGTCCAGGGAAGCTCACACGTGCACTTCTGAAAGGCTCTCTGGAGACTTCCAATCCTGGGCAGCTCTGCCTAAAGAGGCTGAGAACCCCAGGTCTCCTCTACCAAGGATCCCTTCTCCCCAAACTGCTGCTCCATCACCCTGCTCCCTGGGCACTGCGCTGCTGTCTGCCAGCTGCATTCTGCAGGAAGGAAGCACAGAGGAGGGGCATGGGCTTGGGGTTCCCACAAAGGCCTGCAATCTGGCCCTCTCTGCACGGGGCAGAGTTGGAGAGTTTACCTCTCCAGGGTAACCATGGCACACACCCTCTGGGCTGGGCCTCAGAGAACAGCCAGAAGAATGGCTCAAGGAGCTAGGAATTAGCTAGGAGGAGAGGGGGGCGGTCAGAGCCCCAGGTCGGGCCAACACTATGGGTGTGGATGAGTCTGGCAGTGCCCCTCGCCCAACCTGGACAAGAGGCCTAAGGCCCTGGAGAACACAGTGTTCACACTGGCAGGTCAAGAGGCCCGGCCCCACCCAACCATCTGTTTTCTGTTAGTGTGGATGGCCCATCACTTCCACCAACAACTCCCCACCCCCACTGGGGTGGTATTAGCCACAGGGAAGGGGCGGAGCACTAGAAATCTCCCAGAAGTCTCTTCTGCGTTGAAAATGGGCCTCTAGCTCCAAGTCAGACACATCAGTGACACCTGGTGGCTGCTGAAAGTCACAACTGGTCCCATCCTCACCCTGTGTTTGGGGTGACTGGGGTGATGTTCCAAGGTCAGGGAGCTGGTTCGAGGTCTCGGCTTGGAAGCGCTACGGGTGACAGGCATGGCGCCACTCTCCTCTACAGGATAAAGGGCCAAAAGTCCACTTGATTGAGAGCAAATGGGAGCCTTGAGACACCAGGTGCAGATGCCATTTAACCTTGATCTTGCCAGGTCCCTTCTCTGAGCTCCCACATCTGTAAACCAGGCCGGGGGTGGGGAAGATGCTCCTCTGAGGCCCCCCAGCACTGCGGTCCAGTCTGCCCCTCTACTCTCTAGAGCACACCCTGTGCAAGACAAGTCCTAGCTGGTATCCCTTTCCTTGCAGTAATTTATGGGCTGTCTCTTCCAGAGAGGCTTCTCCGCCCTCCTTACTTGGCCCCGGTTAGCCGCTGGTCAGGTCTCCAGGTGGATCCCTCACCTTCATCCCTAACTTCCTGGGTGCCACCCCTCCACAGTCCCCTGGGGTATGTGTTGGTGGGGAATACTGGGAGGAGGATGTTCTAGAAATGATTAAGACACAGTAGCCCCCTCAAGTTAAGAGGAGAAATGCTTCAGAGGTTCTTAAGAAATTGAACTGAACTGGGCTCTTAACTTCAAGAAATCCCCATCACAGTCTTGCTCAACTTTCTCTTTTGCTAAATATGGGAAACAGTGCCCACTTCATCTGGGCCTCCTTCCCTGCAGCTGGTTTCTCCAAGGCTCATGCTTAAAGTCAGTCTCTTAGTATGGCTGTAAGCAACCTGGTGCTATGCCTGGACGAACCCCTTCCTGCTCCTCATTCACACCTAAAACCTCAATCCTTTCGATGAGGCCCATGGGCTCAAACAGCCCCTGTGGCTCTCCGGGGGGCCTGGTCCTGCAAACCTGAACATTTAGCTCCAGCAGCCACACGATCGTCATCATCCCATTGCCACATCCAGAGTAAGTCTGCTCCCTCCACTGCTTTCTGCAGCTGTAAGTCAGAGGGGTGAGAGGCAAAGCGGCTTTATAGGTACCCCAATCCCTGCATGCATACACACAGAGAGTTGGTTTCCCTTGGGTTTAGAAAGCCCTGCCTTCTGACACAAGTTCTACTGACATCAGCATATCCAGTGCTTTTGGAAACTGCATATCCGATTCAGGCATGGAAGGAGGTGTGTATGTGTGCTCTGTACATGGGTCTCTCCGCTCTTGCAGGCCATGTTAACTCTGGACCAACTTTTCCATTTCAACACGCTTCAAAGCAGAGGAAATAAAGTAATATGAAAACACCTTGCCTGAACTTGACAATGTGAATAGGTCAAGAGTCATACTTTAAAGCTCCTGCCCCTCACCTCTTATTTGCTTTGAGAAGGACAGTGGATAAAAGATTTTATTCTTAAGAAACCTCTAAGAAAGCTATCCCAAAGCCTTTTCTTGAAGAATTTCTCCAAAACTCATAACCCTCATGAAAAATTATTCCTAAAGTCAGACCAGAAATCTAAGAGTTACATTTGAAGCCCAAAACCCCAGGTTCTTTTGACTCACAGATACTAATTGTCAAGGGTCTCCCAGTGCTCAGTATCAAGGAGAACGGGGAAGACAGGACCGTCATCTTCTCTGACTTCGTAAATCTCAGACTCACCGGGGGAGCGTAGTGTGCAGGAGAGCCATGGGAGAGCCAGGTCAAGGGAACAAAGAGCCGCTCATCTGGAATGTTCTACAGGGTCCACAGAAGGTCAGAAAAGGTGAGAACAGGGGCCCCAGCTTCTCCACATGGAGGGACCCTGGCTCTGGAAAGGCGACGCCACCCTCTGGGCCTGCACCATCCTCTGCGGGATGGAAACGGCCCAGTGAAACCCTCACCCAACCTGCCCTGCCTGTAACACCTGCAAAGGTTCAGCGATCACTGACCATGTGCTGGGCTCCCAGCCAAGAACTCAAGGATGGGCAACATATACCCCATGCCCTTGAGGAATTCGTAACTTGGTAAACAGGGGAAAATCCACAAATTTATACTTCTGTCTTAAGGGTTCGTGATCACGCTGCGTCGTACAAACAGCATAGAGGAAGGGGCCTTTGCCTCTGGCTGGGGGTCAACCGGAAAGGCTCCCATCACTTAGGGATGAATCAAATCTTGCCTGACCAGAGAAGGGGAAAAGCACAGGACCCGGAGGGAAAACAGCAGGAGCAAAAAGGTAGGAATGCTAGGGACTCCTTCGGGAGTCTGTCTTAGAGCCTTGCTACCAGCCCTCAGTAGGAAGATACACTGTCGTCCAAAACACAGGAGGGTTCCCAAAATTTCCACCCCTGCCCCTCTCCCTGCCCACAGCTGGGGCAGACATAGCATTGGCTGGGCAGACTTCTGTCCACCTCGCTTGCCACCTCCATTCCATCAACACACTTTGTGCCTGTCCCGATGAGATGAGGACTGGAGTGCCCTCTACCCCACACACTCACCTCCACCCACCTGTTCGCCAGGCTCTCAGGGAGCTGAGCTGCCTGGAACAGCGTGTAGCTGGCTGGTTCCCACACAGCGCATGCTGGTCCAAAAGAATCTGCCCTGAAATCCATGGGAACAAGGGCGAGCAATCAGCAAGCTGGAGAAAGCAAAATTAGAAGCCGGGAGAGGGTCCCCACCCAAGGTGGCTCCCAGGCAGGAATGGGGGAGGGCGAGCCTGGGGCTGAGAGCGAACTCTGGCTGGCTGTGAGGACTGGCGAGGGGTCAGGGCGGCCTGTGGCAGGGGATGGTGCGCAGTGCATCAGGCATAGCCGAGTGCCACAGGGCTGTCATCCAGCCTGGAGGGATGGTGGAGGCAGGTGGCCGGGGAATGAATGAGCAGTTGATTTGCATTCTTCGCAGGAATGAACGGCCTGGGCTGGGAGGGCAAGCTTCCAGGCTGACTGTAGGGGGCAGAAGGGCTCTGGCTGCAAGGCCTGGCTGTGGGGGTGGACATGCAGGAGAGCAGCCCACAATCGGCCATCTGCCTCCTGGGCACCCCCCTCTGGTTCCAGGGCTCCTCCCAGGCCGGCAGGGCCCCTGATGGTGGAGCTCCCCAGAGTGTGGATTGACAGGGGCCCAGGTACTTGTGCGTTGCTCTCCAGCTTGGCTCTTGCACTGCGGGAAGGCCCCCTCCCCCTGCAGCTGGTGCCCCCTTGGGGAACTGTTGCGCCTGTGCCTTCACCCGGGGCTCCAGGCACAGCTGAGCTATGCCAAGCCCATCTGTTCTGAGAGTCCGAGACATGCGGTCTCAGAACTCACGGGAGGAGGCAGAGAAGAAGAGGATCAAGTGAACCACAGAAAACTCTGGCCTGGGACTCAGGAAATCTGTGTAACCTCGAGCAACTCCTCCCTCTCTGGGCCCTTCTGGGCCTCAGTTTCCTCCTCAGTACAATCTGGGGTTCAGACTAGGTCACTTCAGGGGGCCTTGAAGCAGGGATTCAGGATGTGGACAGTGGAAGGCAACAGGGAACAGGGGATAGGGCTGACAAACTTGGCCAGAGAGGAGGGTGCAGGCTGCAGAATCGGAGGAGACATCTTCAACACCTTCACCCCAGCCTGCCCGAGACACTAAGGAAAGCAGCACTTCTCCCAGTAAGCACATACTGGGCCGAAGAAAACCAGCTGGGAAGGCGAGCTCTGACTCCATCCCCTCGATCCAGCCCTCCCAGGAGTTCAGAACCTGGGGGGTGAGGACTCTCCCTTCTGCCTCTCTAAGACCGGACCTTATTTCGAGAAGGGTGGCCCAGAAAGACAGCAAGGGGAAGGGGCCCCAGAGCAGGCAGAGGGAGAGAGGAAGAATTCCGGTTCATCAAGCAGAGGTATGCGAATGGAGACCCCCCCCCAAAAGAGGAGGGGAAACAGCAGGATCAGAATGAGTGACAGATCTGATTCGACAGTCAGCCTGGCTTCGCCTCTATCCTCCAGCCAGCTGCTGCTTTTAGCCCCAGCCCTGGTGCAGTCCATCAGAGTCCCTACCTCCCTGAAAGCTGCTGGGCTCTATTTGAGAGCCAAGAGCATCTAAAGGTAAGGTATGAGGTTGAAGGCCTTAGGCCCACTGATACTCAAATGTTCAATGATCCTGCAGATTGGTTGGGAATGGGAGGTGAGATGAAGACTTCTCTTGCTGCTGCTGGGGGCTACCCCTGGGCCCAGCTGAAGTTAAGGAGGAAGACCTACAGAGACATGTGCAGCTGGCTTGGGAGGGAGGCACATGCTGGCTACGCCTGTGTACACGCTTCAACACCCACCCCACACTTCACCCATGTGTGCGGACATGCGGGAACTGCATGAACATGCACAGTCTCACACACACACTGCATGTGTGCATAGTCACCAGGGCACACACACAGATTTACACATATCTCGGGACCCTCCCAAAATCAAAGAAACCACACAAAGAACTCTCTTACATCTATAGTCATCTGTTTCTAAAAAGCTGCATTTCCAAGCGTCTACTTTAAGACTCTATCTTCTTTTTTCTGTGATATGTCAAATCGTAAGCCATCTCCAGATGGACTAAGAATGGCTGGGAAGGGATGTGCCACATTCATTTCTGTCCTCCCAGAGGCAAGTCCCTCCCATAAGTGTTGGTTGGGGGATTTTTTTGGTACTGGGGATTGAACTCGGGACATTTTGCTCGCAAGGCAGGCAGCAGCACCACTGAGCTAAATCCCCAGGCCTCCCATAAGTGTTTGAGGAGTAGCAAGCCTACGCCGGGTGTCTGTCTGCGTGCACTGTGGGGTGGATACCTGAACACCGGCATCAAGTGCCACAGAGGAGGGCTAGAGACGCCTCTAGGTGCAGCCCCAGCTTTTCGGGAGCCTTTGGGTGGATGGGGCCACTGAGAAAGTGAGCGTGATGAATGGCAAGAGCCTTCGAGGGCGCAGTGGGAGGCAGGGCAAGTTTGAAAGCTGTTCCCACAAAGCTTGAGAAAGCTCCAACCAACCGCTGCCCCTCCTCCTGCCCACTGCCTAGGGCTGCGCATTCTCAACCCAGCCCCCCTAGCCCCCCATGAGGCTCTCGGCTTACCTGAGAGTGCTGAGCCTGGTGCTGCAGGACACAGGGCCAGCTTCTGTCCCAGAGGAGAGGAAGAGGAGAGAAGAGCCAAGCCATGGCGAAGACGATGCCTATGGAGCCCTGCATGTGGGGAACCATGGCCCGAGCCTGGACGACTCCAGTGAGGGCAGTGACCTGAGGACCCCGAAGACCCTGAGGACCAGCTCCCTGAGGTGAGGGGCACGGTGGACTGACTGCATGCCCCAAGAGATGGGGTCAAGCGGGACCCTTCCCTCCTCCTGCCCTGCAGTGCGGGTCTCTCAAGCCCCAACTCTTTCTCTAGAGTGCAAATTCTCAGCCCTGTTCTTGCATAGGAAATTGTCCCTTACAGGAGACTAACAACCAGGACGCAGAGCTCCAATTTCTTGCTCCATTTGCAGCAAACTTGGTAAGAACCCACCCCAAAGTCGTACATCCCTCCCAGGCCACCAAACAGGATCCTAAGCCATGTCGCATTAGGGTGAGGATCAGCCGTGTCCTCAAATTCTGCCTAGAAAAGGGAAAGCCATCCCAGCCCTACCTCTTTCCTTAGACTGTTTGCCACCTTGAGTTTCTTGGCAGCACCTGCGCCTCTGCAGGGGCTGACCTGGGCAGCCTCTGCCCATGTCCAGGTTGAGCTGGGTCTGTGCGGAGCCAGGGGAGAGCACCAGCCTGGGAAATCCTGGGAACTGGGCTCTGGCTCCCAGCTGGTTCCCTGACTGTCCCTCTCTGCACTGGGCCTGCCTCCTCATCTGCACCCACTCTGAGTTTCCCTCCTAGCTCCTACCTTCTTCCCCATGGTGACTCTGCAGGTTTGAAATTGGTCACCGAGGTTTCCAGAAGCCAAAGTTAAATCCTTCTCAGGGACCCACTGTGTGCTGTCCCCAGGTTAGAGTGACCAGGCTAACTCCTCCAAGCAGGATCGGTCCCACCCAGAACACTATAGCTACAAGAACATCCAACCCCGTGATGACCAGGGCTACTTTGCCAACTATGCCAAGCTTACTGGGCTCCCCAACCAGCCAAGGTAAGTGCCAGTCAGATGGCCACAACATCCATTGGTCATGGGCTAAGAAGTCACGATTCAGGACCAGAGGCTATCAAAGTGGAGTGTGGTCATGCCTAAGAGGGGCCTTTATCAGCAGGGAGAGGAAGGGAGAGAGTCACAGTAAGAACAGAGAACAAAAACCCAAAGGAGAGGCTGGCTATCCCCAGTACTTCTTCGTGAATGCACAAATTGGACAGGAAGCAGAGCATTGCAAGGACTCCCCTATGCCCCAGCAAAGCCACCATCCCTTAATTAACAGCCCCACTCAGGAAGCAGGTTGAGTGGTAATTAGATTAGAGACAATTAGAAGCCTGTAGAGAAGAATAAATAACTTTGTGGCTGTCACTTGGCATGGGGGCAAATGAAGCAGTCACACAGCTTTCAGCATTGAATTTTCCTCCTCAGCAGCTCTCTCTCCTCCCCCAGAGACTGGCATGCTGGTGTCCAGCAGTGGGCGCTCAGTACTCCGAAGGGGATCAGGAACTGAGGCGGTGTAGGGGTGCATCTCATTCTCGACTTGCTGGTACTCAGCGTCCCTGTTGCCTCTTGCCTGGGTAGACCCAGGGTCCTGGGACATCCCCCAGGGTACTCGTTCAGGCATCTATGTCATCTCTGAGTGAGAGTCTCAGGACGGAAGACCATAAAGGCCCTTGCTGGACCTGCTGTGTGAGGCCTACAGTTAAGGCGGGAAACTCACACACACACAAACACACACACTTCACCTACTCCTGCTGGTCACTGCTGCAGAGAGGAGCAGTGTCACTGCTTGCTGCTAGCGTGCTTCCTGGAGTGGGCCGAATGCTGGGCTCTTGGTAGTCTTGGCACCTGTGATTGCATGTGACAGAAAGCCCCTGCACTGCTCATTTCTGTGAGCCAGTGAAGTCCACCCAGCCTTTCACAGCCAGTCTGTCAGATGGCCTGGCCTCCACCTCATGACTGCATGCTCCAGAGATGAGGCCCCAGGCTGAGAACAGGGGAGGGCTATTTCCCCATAAAAACGATGCCAATGCCATAAGAGGGGAAATGGGTACAGGGCAGGCATCGTCCTCTCTGCCGTGGCTCTGTTATGCTTCTTGGAGCCACACAGACTGTGTCCGACCCCTGTCCCCAAGGCAGCTGGCAGAGCCACACCCCTGGCTATTACACTGGATTCTGGCTTTCTTTCATCCTCACTGTATTCTTTTGGACCAGAGAGGATCCCTGTGGAAAGGAGACTGATAGCTGAAGTCCTGGAGATGCCCAATAGACACAGGAAAGCCTACAAAAGACCAGAGTCTAATGGAAGCAGGGCGAACCTGATTCTCTTGGGGCTAGGACTGGACACTCAGAGCAGCCAGTCGGTTCTGGCCACCTCTCTGGGGTGAGAACACTGGCTGTGGCAGCTGCAGCAGAGCCTGACGGCTCTCCCTCTCTGACTCCCACCTGGGTCGGGGCTGCCCACCTGGCTGCTCTGTGTGTGCCTCGGTTCCTCCATATACTTTGACGACACCGACCTGGCGAACATCCCTCCTCTCCCACCGATGACCACCTACCTGTATGCTCGCTTCAACCACATCAGCCATATCAGGGCCGGAGACTTCACAGGGCTGAGTATGCGTACCCGGGAGAAGGGGGGGAGGGGCCAGGCAGGTCCTTTCCCGTGCACCTGGCCAGATGCTGTTAGACTCACCCTGTGCCAACCCTGTCCTGCTAGCTCTCAGTCTGTCCTGTTGTCAAAGGGATGGAGCCCCAAGCCCTTCATCTCCCTCCCCTTGAGAAGTTTAAACAGTGGAAGTGGCCTATTTTCTACCAGAGAGTTGGGAAGGGAAAGTGTGATCAAGTCAAAATTTTCAGGATGTCCCAGCAACTGTAGCTGCATTGACCTCTGGACTGTACCATCCCCGGTCTACTCTTGGGCTCTGGTGCTGTTCCGATGGTTGGGTGGTTGTTCTGCTACTTTAGACAGGAGACCTGGGTGCCACACCAGTTTCCACCACTAATTCCACGGCCTTCCAGGCTTCGATGCCCTTTGTGTAAACTCATGGGTGGGGAGTGTCCAGGGATTTCTGGGCCTCTTGGCTCTTGTCCGTGAAAGGTTTCTTCCAATCAGATGCAAGGTAGGCACCCACAGCCCAGCATGAAACTACAGTGACAGGAATGGAGGAACCAAGGGCTTTTCCCAGGAGACCGGATCTGGCTTGGAGACCTAGTGCTGATGGAGACGGGTTAAAATCCCCTGACACTGAGGGGGTGGAGACAGACCTGGTGGGGGTGAGGAAAGACTGCACATCTCCGTACCCTTCCCTGTCCCTCAGCAAAGCTGAAGAGGATTGACCTCTCCGGCAGCATCATCTCCTCCATCGATAACGATGCCCTCCACCTGCTGCCGGCCCTGCAGGAACTGATCCTGTCGGAGAACCAGCTGGCAGCTCTGCCCATGCTGCCCCCAGGCATTGAGCTGCTGGATGTCTGCCTGAATCGTCTCCGGAGCTCAGGGATACAGCCTGGGGCTTTCAGGGTGAGTGGGGGCCTGCAGTCTGCCCTGTGCCACCTGCCCCACCCCTACCCCCAGCATCTGGAGGCTTCCCTGCCTCACCCTTGCTCTGGGGTATAAAACTCCATGCCCATTTTTTTCTTCCTTTCCCGTGTGTTGCTTATTAAAGGTTCTCTGGTTGAAGGAAACTCTCTGGCTCAGGAGAGGACTTTTGCAGCATGCTGTTCCAACAGCCTCCATGAGTGGGGAGCACACTACCAGGCCTTGTGTGCCTGTTCCTGGGAATGGAGGAGACCAGCAACCCAGATCAGCAACTTCCCTCTGCCTCTGTGGACCCCAAGTCCCTTGTCTGGCTTCTTCCCATGCACCTTCATTGCCTGTTCTTCCCTCCACACACTAGCATCCTTGGGATACTCATACGTTCTGCTCCCCGAAAACCGGGCTTGCCCATGGCTTGCCTACCTAACCCTAAAGCCTACCTACCATTTCGTCTCCCAAACCCACCACTCGGTGACTAACCACTGTCCCTGCATGGTCACAGTGTCCAGAGAGACAATCTGCTGGGTCACTGGCTGGCTGCCTATTGGGGGAAAGGCCAGATCACATGGCACCAACGCAGCCCCTGGGGCTGCCCGCTCCACAGGGCTGGGCAGAGCCTGGTTGCAGTTCTGCTGAGCAAGTGAAGCAGAGTGGACAAGACTGACCGCACTTCCTCTCCAGGTCTGCTGCGTGGTTAGGAACAGCCTTCGGAGACTTGATCTCCTTCATTCAGATGCTCTTTGTCACTTTCTTAGGTACAGGCCCACAGTTCGTGACATTTCCACCAGGACTGGATGACATAGATGGGGGTGGGCCCCTAAGATTATGTTGCCTATGACACTGTGGCTCTCTTAGTTTGTGGAAACGTATTCTATACTCCTCACATGAAAGAAACTGCCTAATGACACATTTCTCAGACCATATCCCCACAGTTAAGCAGCGCATGACTACAGTGTACTTTTCACAAACTAACCTACATTTAGAAGCATCAAATCAAGTCAAACCTTTTTTTCCAGTACTGGGGATTGAAGCCACGAAGTGCCAATCTTTCTCCCCAGCCCCCACCCCACTCTACTCTTCTTCCTTTCCACTCTTTTTTTTGGTACCAGGTATCGAATTCAGGACCTCACGCTTGCCAGGCAGGCCCTACACCACTGAGCTAAATCCCCGGCCCTCTTTCAGTTCATTTTGAGACAGGGTCTCATTATATTGCCCAGGATGGCCTTGAACTTTTGTTGTTCCTGCCTCAGCCTCCAGAGTAGCTGTGCGCCACCATACCTGGCCAGAGCTGCTTTTTGAAGCAGGCTGAAGGCACAGTCATGCCTTAGACCCTCTGCTACCCCACCCCCTGACACCTTCCACCCTGTGTGCAGGGGTCCTGGGGGTGGATGCAAGACTCAGTGCCCACACCACTTCTGTGGAGTCAGGAGCTCTGCGTGCCCTCTGGCCTCAGTTTCCCAGGTGAAGGGCTGCATCCACATGATCACTGAGCTCGCTCACTGCCCCAGCCCTAAGCAACATCCAGCTGTCTCCATGTGAGCAGGCTTCTCTCTGCCCTGTCCTGAGACTTTTCTCAGCCTAGGGGAGGCAGGGGCTTTGGAGCCAGAAAAAGCTGAGCTCCTGGGTGGTAAAGTCACTATACCCTTCTGATCTTGTTTCTCACCTGCAAAATGAAGACAGTGATTCCTGCCTGACACCCTAGCTGTGGGATTCTTTACAGCAGCAATTACCCAGAGCAGAGGAATATGGCATGCGGATAGCAGGTGCTCCCTGAATGGGAGCTATTATTCTTCACTCCTCTACAGGCCCCCAGAGGCTTCTCTTTCCCCCAGTCCTGCTCCCATTAGACCACCTGCTTCTGGTAGTGCTGTCACCCCCAGACACAAGCTGCCTCTGTGCCTTGGGGTTCTCATTCCACTGGCCTGACATCCAAGTGCGCCCACATCTGCTGCACACTTAGCACCGGGTGGATCCCTCTGATGACAGAGAAGTGAGGCTGCACGGAGATGTCCCCATCCTCCCTCCGGCTGCCCTCCCAGCCATCACTGCAGCCCCCACTCCCCCAGCTGCCAGCGCCTAGGTGCAACACCTCTGCTCCTGCATTCACCTGCAGTCAATGTCTGTTAGCTCCTTACAGAACCAAGCAGCCCCACGCCCAGCACCCAGCACAGAGTCCAGCGCATGGCTGAGGCTAAGTAAACCCTGAGTGAACGAAAGGAGTCCCCGACCCCGGCCTCATCAGCACCTCCCCGATGCCAAGGCCCAATAGGGCCTCCAGCCTCCAGTGCTCTGTGTCCCACAGGCCCTGGAGAAGCTGCAGTTCCTCTATCTGGTGGACAACCTGCTGGATTCTGTCCCCGGGCCTCTGGCCCTGAGCCTGTGCTTGCTACATCTGCAGGTGAGGGCCTCTGCCAGGTGAGGGCCTCAGGCAGGAGTGGGGGCAGAGAGCAGGGGCAGATAGCAGGGGCAGCTCCTGGGAGTGAAGGGGACGTGGACCCAGCAGCTGGGGTGTATTGAAGACATGTTCTTGTCTAGATCATTGTCCGTGGCCCCCATTTAACTTTCTCTATTTCTCCTCCTTCTTTCCTCTGCCCCCCCCACCCCCGCTTTTTTTACAGAACTGGGATTGAACCCAGGACCTTCATACTGAGCTACATCCCCAACCTCTCCCCCTTTTAATTTTTGTGACAGAGTCTCACTAAGCCACTAAGTTGCCAAGGCAGGACTAGAACTTGTGATCCTCCTGCCTCAGCCTCCCAGAGTGCTGGAAGTACAGGCATGGGTCACCATGCCCACCTCTCTACTTCTTCTTTTATAAAACTTTCTCTCCCTTTGCATCTTTATTTCATCTCACTTACCTGACTTCCCATTCCCCCCTTTCTTACCTTCTGTCTCTCCTCTTCTCTTACTGTCAATGCCTCCATCCTTCCTACCCTTCTTCCCTTCACCTCACTCTCCCTTCATCCTCCATGGGTGTCCTTGCCTCACTCCCTGTGTGGTTTCCACATTTTGTGCCTTGGTTTCCTCAGTGGCCCAGGAAAGGCAGAGTAGGCAATGGTGGATGTGGGCTTTCGGAGAGAGGGGCCTCTGGGCAGGGACTCGGCTGCAGCCTGTGCTTTGCAGAATAACGTGATAGAGACCCTGGCGAGAGGCACCCTCTGTGACACCAAGGAGCACAGACACACCCGCAGGCGGCTGGAAGACATCTGCCTGGACGGTAACCCTGTCAACCTCAGTCTCTGCCCGGGCACCGACTTCTGCCTGCCCAGGCTCCCCACTGGCCGCTTCACCTAGCCCCAGTGTCCTGTCCTCTCCTCCCAGGTAGAGCCCACCGAGGGCACATGGCGCCCTGTCCCCCAAGTCTAAGCAGCACTAGACAGCCTCGTGATCCAGTTGCAAAATCACCACCTCAGTCCCTGCACACACACACACACACACACACACACACAGACACACACACTGCGACGCCCTGTCCTTCAGTAGCCAGATTTGCGTTTCCCTCTCCTCTTTCCTTAACACCTTATGTCTCCTGGCTCCGGGCAGAGCGGCGTCTGCAGTAGAGCTCTTTTTCATATTCCCCATCCCTCCTGCCCACACAGAGTGCCAGGAAAGCCAGGAAAGAGGAGGAGGACGAGGAAGAGGCAGAGGGTGGAGAGGGCAGGGGAGAAGAGGCCAGCGGTGCTCTGGAGCCAGCTGTTAGCTGTGGGGCTTGCAAGAACTGATTATCATATTTTCTAGAATCTTGCAAGTCAGTTGTTAGACATAGCTGTTACGGAGAAGCAAATTATATAACCTCACCATTAAATATATTGAAAACAAATGTAATAAATACTCAAAACTCATCACTTCCTAATCATCTTACTGTCTTTTGCTGTTGAACATGCTCCTGAAGTTACTTATGTCCACGGCACCTGTGTGGTGGAAATTCAATCTAATGGTCTGCTACTTAGTATCTCTTCCCTGTTCTTGTTCGGTAACATCACATTGGTATTTTGAAATTGACCGTGGTGGGAGATTTACACCATGGAATCCATAAACGCTATAAACCAGTCTTGGGTTTTGGTTTTCGAGTCTGGTTGTTGAAAGCTCACCAGCACTCCATGGAGGAGACAGAATAGCCGTTAGCCCTTCTCTACCCCTGAGCTGTGCTAGTGGAGGTGAGTAGAGACTCCTTAATTTCTTGCTCTTCCTGAGCTGGGACCTCCTGTGAGATCAGGAGGGAGCCAAGCAGAAGGATGCAGAATGACTCTTCTGCTGGATGCCCTTTCAGTAGCTCTGACCTCTTCTTCCCAGGCCTGGGCCAGGCTCAGAAGGCTGGTTTCTGACCACTAAGGTTTCTGTCCTTCCCAGGCTACCCTGCAATGTTCAACCAGCAGAGGGCAGCCTTGGGCAAAGATAATAAATAAATATAGCAATTTCCTGCGATCTTTCTGGGTGCTGGGCAGGGCCTACAGTGCTGAGTGGGTGGGAAGAGCAACCATTACCCAGCTGACTTGTTCTTTGAATGATAAAGGATAGGAGACCTGGGGCAAGGGGGCCGAGAGGGTTGGTGCTCAGCCGGCAGTGCCTTCGCTCATGCAGCAAGGGTTTTCTGGAGCACCTGCCTGCCATGTGCCAGGCACAGTGTCACATGCCGGTGACATGATATGTACAGACTCCTTTGCCTCATGGAGCTTCTACTCTAGTGCCGAAGATGGGTGTTAAACCAATGGTTAACACACATAACCACACTATTTGACTTATAAGTGCTCTAAAGGGAACACACAGAACATTACAGGGGTTCATAAAATGGGGCTGTGTGTAAGGGTCTGGAAGACCCCCTTGTAGAATTGACATTTAAGCTGAAACCAAAGACAGAGTAGGAGCTGGCCAAGCCTTGGGTTGCCAAGGCAACCACACAGGGTCCCAGGTGGTCCTTGAGTCTGGAGGGACAGGTGTTTCTTGTGGCCCACATGGAAGGGAACCTGTTAATGACTGCCCCCCCCACCTGTCTAGCACCTCACTGAGCACTCTGGATCCTCATGACAGTGCGTAAGCTGACAAGTCAGGAATTATTATTCATCCCCCAGATGAAGAAATCAGGAGCTAGAAGAGATGAATCACTTACCCACTCACACAACTGACTGACGCTTGGACCAGCGCTGCATGCACTGGCTCCCAGACGAGGCAGGGGGGAACCGTGTGATGCTGAGCGAGGTTTCCGTCTCCTTCTCTCCTAGAGATAAAGCAGCCCAGCACACATTGCCCCAGGGAGGACAGGGAAGGCAGTGAGCTTAGAGCTGCCACTGGCTCCTTGGGGTGTGTGTGTGTGTGTGTGTGTGTGTGTGTGTGTGAGAGAGAGAGAGAGAGAGAGAGAGAGAGAGAGAGAGAGAGAGAGGCCAGCTCTGTGCATTTCTGTCTCTCTTCCTCTCCTCTTCACCCTTCCTACACTCTTCCATATCCTATTTTCCCCTCCACATCCTATAGGACTATGGAAAGCCTCAGCATGCAACAGCTGTAAGACTCAAGATCTCCAACTTCAAGAAAACCCTGGATAAGGACAGCTCCCATCCCACAGCGCACACACGCACAAACACACACAAACACACACACACACAATCATAAAAGAGATTCTCCAGAGCTGGCTTCCTAGGCACTAGGAGCCGTGTCATCTCCAGCTGCCCATGGTGAATCTGCACACACAGGTCATCAGACTCCTGCCTGAGTGCAGGAGGAGAGGACCAACAATTCCTGTCCTCCACCGCCTTCCCTGGGGCCACTCTGTGTACTTGTAGGATTTCCCCAAGGCCACGCCTCCACCTCCACAGCTGTCCTGACTAATCCCCCAGTGTTGGCTGGGGAAGCCCGAGAAACAGAAAGAATGCCCTTGTTGGCCATCTCCCTGAAGAAATTCTAAACAGAGCATCTGTCCCTCCACCCAGGGGATGGGTGGGGTCAACTGCCACAACCTGTCTTCTGCAAAGGAGCTGGGCTCCTGCACTGCTCGGACATAAAGGAGTGAGCAGTGGCCCTCCTGTCCTGCAGGATGAAGAAGATCAGCCAGGAGGGTGGGTGCCAGCCAGGAATGGAGCCCAGGAGGGGGCCACAGGGTCTGGGCAGCGGGGCAGCCAGCCCTAGTGTCTTACTGCCCACGCCAGCCAGCAGTCTGTCTGCCCCAGACCCCACCTCCTCCCAGGGTCACACTTACCTGACCTCACTCATCCTGGTCCTCAGGTCGGTCAGCAGTCCATCCGCACCTGCTTCTGACCCTGTCAATGCCACTTGGGGCCCAGCCACCAGCCCTGCAGGGAGAGGAGCCCCTCGCTCCTCAGCGGCACCCCAGCAAGGCCAGCCTCACCTGTTGGGAGTGTCCAAGGAGGTGGAGGGGAGAAGCTAGAGCCCCTCTTCTCTATGACAAAGAAGGGGTGAGTCTGCTGCTAGAGCCAGAGGGCCCAAATCCACCTAGGGGGCCTGGAGGTTTCCTCCCCCTACCTCCCCTCCAGACTCCCTTTCTGCTTCCTATTCCCTTCAGTCTCCTCCTGGGAACATTAAGCTCTTTTAGGTTGCAGATTTGCACTTTGCAAATCTCTTTTTCATGTGGGATCTAATTCCACCGTCCCAACTACTTGGTGAGGAATCCTTATCCCTACTTTACAGAGAGAAAATTGGAGGCCACATACTTTGTCCAGGAAAAAGATGACAAAGAGTGTAGAATTTACAAAAACAAAATGGGGTGGGGCTGTGAGGGAAAGTCATTGCCGGGAATTCCTGAGGGAGGCACGGGAATTCCCACCTCCAACGCCTAGAGTAGATTAGTGGCCGACCAAGAGTTTTATTTATTATTGATTTTTTTATTCGGTTTTTTGTTTGGTTTTGTTTTGTTTGCAGTGCTGGGGGTGGAACCCAGGGCCTTGTGCATACTAGACAAGCGCTGTACCACTAAGCTCCACCCCAGCTCCCCAAAACACTCGGAAAAGCAAGAACTGGGAAGGGCATCTCCCAGGCTGGAAAAGGGGTGCCCCCCGGGATTCGGAGTCAGCAGCCCCTGGCAGGAGCACGCCTGCATCCTCGGGGAGCACACGAGTGACCTCGATTCGGCCCAGGGAAACCCGGGGCTCAAGGGCACACTGGCCCCATCCCCCCCAACCCAGGCCCGAGTCTGTCCTTCTCGCTCCGGGCACGGAGGGAGGTAGACAGACAGACAGACAGACAAGAGGCCCCTCCCTGCACCCTCCTTCCTCCCGCCCCTCCCTCTTCCCCACAGACTCCCGCTCCACTCTGGTTCTCCTCTGTCTCAAGGTCGCCTCTGCCGCGGCCAGCCGCTTCGCGGTCTCCGGGTTCCGGCAGCCTCAGAGTCTCCTCCCTCGGTCTCCGCAGCGTGGCCGGGACCACGGGGAAAGACGGAGGAAAGATGCCTGTTTACATTCCACTCGTCCTCCCACCCCGACTGACCCGACCCGGTGGCAAAACAGCCGGGGCCCCCCCCAGCCTCAGCCCAGTCCAGCCCGTGCTGCCCTTCCCGACGCCCAGTGGACCTGCACACAGGTATCTCCCCTCTGCTGTCCCTGCCACCTTCTGTGTTCCCTTCCAGGCTCAGGTGCTGGAGCAAACAGCCTCGGGGCCTCCTCTTGCACCACGGGTGCAGCCGTCTGCGGAGTCCTTTTCTACTTGTGTGTCTCAGTTCAGGCACAAGGGGGCCCAGAGGGGCTTCAGACTGCGGCCACCTCAGAGGAACGGAGGGGCAAGAGAATGTGCACTGCTGGGCATCGGCCTGGCTTTCCTGTGGAACATGTGGCAAATCAGCGCCTAAAACTCTCCATCGTCCAGCCTCCTGGCCGGGCTGCCTCCCTCAGGTTCTGATCCTCAAAGCATATCCCAGCCCCAGGACCACAGTGCCCATCCCTACTAGGTCTGCAACACAGACCTAGTCTGAGAACAAAGACTGAACCTCTCCTTCCTGCCCTTCCCATGGCAAGACTCACAGGGACAAAGAAGGATCTGATGAAGAGGAGGAGCAAAAGGAAGGAAGCACAGACAGCCAGCTTCTGATCCTGTCCGGAGCACAGCTGGCCTCTAGCTGACTCTGCTGCCAGAGCTCTTGGCCGGTCTCTGATCCATGCTGAAGAAGGCGCGGTTCCAGCCCTCCACGCACATGCTGACATCCTGACACCAGGGGCAGCAGAGATTGAATGGCAAATTCCCCTAACCCAAAACCCTCAGGGATTATAACCTGCAGTCTCAAAAGAGGGACTCTTCCTTCCAGAGTACCCCCTCTCTGTCAGCAGGTTCTGGAGTCCGCACCTGCAAAACCAGTGGAGTCTCTCTTGGGGAATCTAAGAAATAAACCCCTGGAGGGTAGGTGTTCTAGGGACAGGCAGTGGGGCAGTGCTAGAGGCAGGGAACAGATAGGCAGCGAAGAGGTGGACTGTCGGGGTACAAGAGGGCCTGGATAACCCCAAAAAAGAGCAGCTCAGAGGGACACAAAGGGCTGCTATGCTGGGAATGTTCTGCAAAATAAGAAGGTGGTAAGCAGTTATCCAGATGTTGAGACGCCCTGCAGAGGAGAAAACATAGCCTTTGTGGCTCAAGTCTTTGGATCAGCTGTATTCCTGGGATGAAATCACCTTCTCGGTGTAGATGCTGCCCCTCCGAAGAGGCCGGTCTGAAGATAAGGTCCCGTGGAAGTCAGCAGATGCAGACGTCAGCCCTGCAGACGTGACAGCAGGCAGAGAGGCAGGAAGCTGGCAGAAATGTGGTCCTTGTGTCCCTTGGTCTCTGCTCCTGTTTCCAGACAGGCCTTTGTCTGGTGCAGAGGGGGATCTCCCCTCCGGTTTAAGCAGGGCCCGAGGTCCAGGCTGCAGAAAGCTACCCAGCCACCATGGGTAAGACACCGCACCTGGCCTTGGGCTAGCCCATGGCATTGTATGTATCATCAATCCAATGCCCCGATTTTATTCAAGAACTCAGAGTCGGGGATTTAGGTCAGTGGTTCCGCCGCCTGCCTCTCAAGCACAAGGTCATGAACCCCAGTACCAGTAGCAAAAAACCCCAAAACAACAAGAACTCAGAGAGGTTCAGTTCCTGGCCTAAGGTCACAGAGCAAGTAAGAGGCAGAATGGAATTTCCAACTTGGCCTGTCTGCAAAGCCCTCCAAACCTCCTGGATTGGAGCTGGGTGTCTGACACACATGCTGAAGCATGTCTCCTCCCATGCTCTCTATGGGAATCTTGTGCAGACCACACCCAATAAACACTGTGCCAGAGCAGCTCCCCTGTGTGGGGGAGACAGACCTCGAGAGAAATCTGACCCCAGGCCCGGGGGTTTAGCTCGGTGGTTTCGACACCTGCTGCGCAAGCGCAAGGACCTGAGTTCGATTCCCGGTACCAAAAAACAAAACAAAACAAAAAGCAAAGAAATCTGACCCTAAATGGCCCCTTCTCCTCCCTCCCTCTCCTAATGTCCCCAACTGGCGGCACCTACCACCTGGATTTCTCCTCCCAGCCTTTCCTGTAGATCTCCCTCCCACACCCACTCCCTTCCTACCTATTGTCTGAGCCCCACTTTTTGGCTCCTGAGCTCCTAGTCTCTGATTTGTTTCCACTCCTTGAGCCCTGAGCACAATAAGCTCTTCCTGCTTATTGGTAAACAGAATCACAGCGAGGCCCGGGGCGACTGCCTGCCAGGTCTGAGCTGGGAGCCTCTCCCCCTGCAGCCCCGTCATGGGGACAGGAACTGCACAGGTGGGCCAGCCCAGTCTGCACAGCCCCAGCCCTGCCATTCCTGTGCACTGTGGCTGAGGGGCAAGCGGGTTGAGCCCCAAATTTGCTGCCCCTCTCCTTCCAAAGAGTCTGGGAACCGCCCACTTGTCCCTTACCTGGGGCCCAAGGGGAGCCCTTCACTTATTTGCTGCCATCACCCAGCAAAGTCCCAGCACCCCATGCCCAGGTGAGTGCTACTTCGTGGGTGGTGTTTTCCAAATAGCTTCTACCACGGCCTGTGAAGATGCCCTGACCAGGCAAAGTGTCAAAGCTGAGGAGCAAGCACACTCACCCTACCCTGAGCAGAGTGGCCTCAGAGGCTGCAGGGGACCCGCCAACTCCTGACCAGGAAGATCCTCCCTTTCACATGGATCCTGGGTCTCTGTTTTCTGAGCTGGACACAGAAGGCCCCTCTGAATCCACAAGGCCGCTGGCCAGAGAGATTCCCAGAGATCCAGCCCTGCCCCTGCCTTACTGTCTCTAGCATCCTCCTCTACCTCTGTGAATGGCTCTTTATTAAGTGTTAGAGACATCAGCATAAGAAACAGGCAGGTCTCTTCTCAGTCTGGGGGAGAGGACACAGACAACAGAGCAAACAGATAAACCATCACAAACCATATAACTGGGGAGGGAAGTGGTGTTCGAAAGGAAGCCTCAGATACTGGGAGTGGAAGATGGTGACAGTAGGTGTGGCAGGCAAGGAAGTCACGTCTGTGGTGATGGCTGAGCTGACATCTCCACGAGAAGAAAGCAGCAGCCAGCAAAGTGGCAGGAACACACTCCAGGCAGAGGGGACAGAGGTACAAAGGCCCTGAGCAGAAGCAACCATGGCGAGTTCGCGGAGGTAAGAAGAGGCCAGGTGAGGCCCAGGTGAGCAGGCAGAGCTGGGGGTGGGGTGGGGCCAGAGAGGCCCGGCCCTGAACAGGAAGGGCTTCAGGGTTCTATTGTAAGCACAACGGATCCTTCTCTGAAAAACTTGATGTCCTCAGTCCCTGTTACTCATGCTAAAAACACAAGGCAGGAGGGAAGTGAGCGTGATTCACAAAGCAGAGGGTGACAGTGACCAGAGAAAACATAACCTTTAAGGAGGAAGGATCTGTTGCTTGGCTACCGGGCCCGGAAGGGTAATGAGGGACTGAGTGGAGAAGGGGGAGCCCAGCATGAGACAGGAGCCCTAAGGGAGAGCTTGAAGAGGGAGGGAGAATCCCAGCTTCCAGGAGGGGGGACTTTGAGGAGGGGGCAGTAAGGAGCATTTTAAGGGGGTCTGATTGTCACTTGCCTCTGGTCACGGCCTCGGGAAGACTCACTCTGGGGCTCCAGGGTCTCCAGGCTTCAGAGTCGGATGGCGACCCCCTTGGACTGGACAGAATGGGCTTCGATGACATCTACTGCTTTGCCACAGCAGAAGTGGAGGCCCCTGCCGTGCCCACCCCAAGGAGATGAGTGCAGGACACTAACCAGTGTGGCCTCGGGCCGCCTCCTCTTTCCTCCCTTGGCCTGAGTGGATTAGATTCCCCTGGAGTGGGAGGTGCAGACTGTCTGCAAAGCCATGAATCCTTATGTTCTTTTGCTTTCTCACCGGGAGGATGTTCAAAGACTGGAGCAGATGGGCTTAGAGTCCAGCTCCTGATCCCCAGAGTAGGCTAGAGGACGGAGCCTCCCCCAGGTGACCCCACCCCAGAGCGGTCGGGGAGGAAAGTCGGGGGGGGGGGTGCACTCAAAGGAACAGGCCCTCCCCCGGGGACAGGGGCTTCCAGAGCCTCCATGTGCTGCCAGACTCCAGTGCCAGGATGGGGCTGGCACAGCCCCCAGGAAAGTAGAGAAAAGGACAAGGCACCATGAGACGCCTCCCAGGAAGGGGTCTGTGACCTCTCCAGATGGAATACCCCCCTGAAACGCAGATGAGCCCCCTCCCCTTCTGTTGACCCCCCGGGCCCTGGAGAGCAGATTCCAGTCCCTTTGTCCCACCCTGCATCTCAGAGGCAGAGCAGCCCCCAAACCCTGCAGGGCCCTCTCCTCCCCTCCAGCTTGGCTGCAGAGCCGGGAGACAGCTTTTTGAACACGCTGCCTGCTTTCTCCTGCACAATAAATGCTTCCCCACAGAACCTGCTGAGCTCTCCACCGCATTGCATTAGTAATCAGCGCACAGAAGCCTCCTCCCCCGCCTCCTGTCTCACTCTCTCCTGTCTTTCTTCTCCCTCTTCTTCCCTTACCTACTCCTTCGGCCTCCTCCTCACCGATCAGAGTCACTGCCACCTCCTGGGAAGCCGAGAAGGTTTATCATCAAATCAGTCTTTGTCATAAGGAAAACAGGTTTCTTTTCCTCACTTTGAGAGGGTGCTGACAGGAGCAGCTAGGGAAAGGGTGTGTTGTAGATTCAGAGCTTTTTTCCCCTGCGGCTGAATCTGCACTCTCTTCTAATTTCTCTTGGCATTGTTGCTCCTCCAACCTGCCTCTCTGGTCACCTGTCCTCTTAACCCTTACTTAGGAGCATTTGCTCACCTGACCCCTGCTTCTTGTCCTTCCTTCCTTCATTTCATTTCACTCATTCAGTGACATAGAGTCAGTCCCTTTATGTGCCAGGTGCTGGGGACAGGAGACGTGGCAGGGGTACATGGGACATAACAGACCATTACAAGACCAAGCAGTCTCGGTGGTGACAGAGGAGCAGCCAGTCCGTGTGGGTGCAGAGGCATCCTGAAGGTGGGCCTGCTGGAGCAGGGACTCTGGAGAGGCCTGGCTGGCGGGAGAAGGGGCAGGGCCCCTGCTGGGTTCCATGGGGGTGAGACCTGGGAGCAGAAGGATCAGGTAGGTGTTTGGGGGTTCTGGGAAAGGTGGCTTTGAAGAGGACAGGCCTATAGCCATTGGTTAGGAGGCCAATGCCATGTGAATTAAAAGGAAGATATGAGCTCAGGGTGACAATAGTGGTGGCAAGGCAGGTCAAGAGAAGGGACAGAGGGACCCGAAAAACCAATAAGTGTAAGAGCCTGCGCTGGCTCCACAACTGTGGGACACTGCTGAAGAGGGGCTGGCTGACTCCGGGGGAGGGTTGAGTGGGCTTTCTGAGCACCCCGCCAGGGACTGGCCTGGGGGTGCCATGGGGCCAGACAAGCAGGAGAGAATCAGAGAGGTGACAGCAGCAGAAGGAGAGGCCGTGACCCACAGGGAAGGAAGGGGCGGAGCAACCCTGTCCAGAGCAGTGCTGAGGCTGTGCTGCAGCCTGGGCTCCATGCTCTGCCTTGCCTCCCAGGTCTTCCCGGAGATGAGCAGCCTTCATCTGCCTCCCATTGTAGGCACCATGACAGCTCTACACTGAGTGCCCACTACGTGTGGCTGGCCACGCAGCCCTCTAGCTGGACACAGGCCTCGTGCTCACAGGACTCCCAATCCAACCCAGAGGGCGTGCACAAAATCCCCACCACTAGAAAAGGAAGGAGCAGCAATACCAACTCTGCACTGCACCTAGTGTACAGTGAGTACGTGCTAAAAGCCTCTCCCTGGCTCTGGAGCACCGAGACGTCTGAGATGCCACACCCATGATTCATAGTCAGTCAGTCCTGCAGGGCCTGGAGCTCTGGCCCTTTCGGAAACCGCTCTCTCCTCTGACAGCTGAGCCCTGTCCTCTGAGGCCCAGAGCAGGAAGGTTCTCTGTGAGATTTACTCTGATGCTCTGCAGCCAGCGTGATGGATGGGGAAGCTGCTCAGGCGGCTGTGGCCAGAGGGGCTGAGCAGGGAGAGAAACACAGCAGCAAAGCAATTCGGAAACAGGAGAGCGGCTACAGGCTGGGTCAGGGAGTGGGAGCTGGATCTCTCCTCTGCCACCTCCATTCGCCTGCCTCTCCAGCTATGTCCTCAGTTCTGTGGCATAAATGACACTGAGAGGTGGGGATAGCAGAGAGAGAAGGTGGAAGAAAGATCAAAAGTCCCTCTCTCCCCACCCTCGGGGTCACCCATTAGGAAAGTTGTGGGTACATTGAGGAGCAGCTCACTGGCATCCAGCCCTGCTCCTGCCCCCGTGCCCCGGTGCACCAGTGGCCCAGTGCCCCAGAAATGGGTCCAGCCCAGGACTGCCTTGGTGTAGATGCAGGATTCCATCCAAACTTGCTGTCTCAGGCATAGGACACAGGCGCTAGGGCCAGCAGCTAGCAAAGGGAAGGGATATTTCTCTCCTGGGATTCAATCCAAGCAGGACTCCATGGCAGGGGCCAAGGTAGAACAAAACTGCAGCGGATCTCTCCAGGAGCGGAACCCTGCAATTTACGCTGCTGGCAGGCTTGGCAGTGCGTAGGTGTGATGGGCAAAGCCTCAGCCTACTCTTACCCAGCCCGAGAATTCCATTTGTCCAGAGTGGCCATGTGCATACGAGACAACAGGGACGCTGACAGGTTACTACGGTCCTCCCACTCACTCCAAACCAGCTGCCGGGCGGTACAGGAAGCCATGGGAGCTAATGCAGCAGACGCTAGGCGCTAGGCGCCAGAGAGGGGCTTCCGGCATTACTGGTCTCTCTGGCCCAACAGACGGGAGATGGCTGTATTATTGGATGGGTAACTGAACTATCTCTCTCCGGAAGTGAACATGGGCAGTCAGGATTACAGAGCACCTCAAAGCTAAAGACCTCACTTCCTGTGGCTCCCTTAGCCCTAGGTGTGGGGTTTATATCGATGCATCAAACACCTGCTCGGTCCATGGAGGCTCAGGGTGGGGAAGGAGCTGCGGCAAAGGGGGCTAAGGGACTCCGTGGAGGAGGTGGCAGCTGTACCACCAGGGGCCCCTCTTGACCCACTCAGCCACCTCTTGTGGACTGGGTGACCCAGGGAGGGTGGACCTACACACACAGCTGCTTACTACATACTTCTGTGTGGCAGGAATGGGCCTTGCATGTGGTTACAGCACAGTAGAAATCCGTGGAAAGAATAAAAGGCTGTTGGCAGGCAGTGTTTCCGCCAGCGAGAAGAGGGCACAACTTTTGCTCCCCCTCTTTTCTTCTTTCCCTGGCAGCTGTTTATCTGCCTCCTCCCCATCTTCACCTAGCTCCCCTCCTTGCCCCAGGGAGGCCCCTGTTCGAGTCTGGGACATCCTCTGGGACCCTCCTGGGGGCTCTTGCAACCAGGACACATCTGGTGGTGGTCAGAAAAGCCAGAGGAAGCAGCTGCTGTGGACACAAGCAGAAGAGCACCGTCTGCTTTCCCCACCAGCACCCTTAGCAGGGGCATCTGTCCCTCAGTGAGCTCCAGAGGCAGCCTGCATGGAACCATTCTGCTTGTCTCTTGAGGCCTCCGGCTCTGCATGCTGCCCCACCCTGCTCTGTGTCCTGTTCCTGGACCACAAACCCCCAGGTCTGCTCCCCAGACCTCTGGGCTGGGGGCCACTTGAGAGTCCTGGCTATAGGGCACAAAGCCTGTGCTGGCTTCTCACCTCTTCATGCTCCAAGCCAGACCTGGCTTTTGCGATGCCTCCTCCTCCGAGGCCAGGAAGGCACAGCTCTGGGGGAAAGGAGGCCCTTCCTCCAACTTCAGCTCTCTCTGGGTCTCAGGAACCATGGTTCTGCTCCTCTCCCCTCTGGGCGTACCACCCACCCTTGCTGGTTTCCCTTCACCTACCTGGTTGTGTGTAAACCCTTTCTTTCTGCAGAACCCAACTAATACACACTTGCACCTGCCATCCCCAGGAGTAGTCAGAAACCAGGAGCAAAGCTGTCTTTGACCACATCCCTCCTGAGACACAGCCTGGTCCGGTTAACTGGTAGAGATGAACCTGGGTTTGAATCTTAGTCTTGCCAGTGGTAAGTTATGATTCCTGTGTTTTACTTTCTTCATCTGTAAAAGGAATACCACTCCCTCTCCAGGATGCTGCAAGGATTAACTTAGATAACATGTGCACGTATGGTGCTTACCATCATCTGGCCACTGAAGAGGCCATTGTTGCTGTGCTGTGAGAGAAACATTTTGTGCCCTAACCACCCCTCCTGGTGCTCTTCTGGGGCCCAGCCAGCAGCCTTGGTGACCAACATGCAGGACAGTTCCTAGAAGGTGGGTCCTAGACTCTCCCTGGAGTCAGCCTGCTCCCCTGGACGGTTACCTTCCCAGGAGACCCTCACCCTACCTCCGAGCCACCAGAACAGCGAAGGAGTGCAGGTATGTGGGGAGGAGCCGTGGACAAAGGTCTTTTCATTGGAATCCCAATGGGCAAGGGCTGGACAAAGGGAGCTGGCCTCAGACGCAGTTCCAGGTTTCACTTAGTGCTCATTATCACCAGCACGATCCCAGCGCTGTCTCCTTGCATGTCTGTGGTATCAGCTTGCTTTGACTCATCGGCAAGTCTCTGTGTGGGTTGGAGCCACTGGGGCTGTGTGGACCCAGATGGGTCACTCGTCACCTGTTGCAGGCAGGAATGGAGGACTGAAGCCCGAGGCCTCATTGACTCGGTAGCAGGCCTGCAGCCCCAGCCAGCATCAGGCCTCTCAGTGCCAACGGACTCCGAGGCCTGTTCTGGAAAGGAAAGGGAAATGGGGAAGCAGGACCTGCCAAACCCCGCTGTGTGGCAGCCATGGGCTGAGCACCACACACCCACCATCTTGTCCGATCACACCTTAATCCACGTGCCACCTCCATGGTATACAGAGGGAAGCTGGGGCCCAGGAGGCTGGTGTGCTTTGCACTGTGACACGCAGCTCACTGGCGGGGTCCTAGGCCCACCCCACCCATCTGCTCCCTCCTAGAGTATAGGCACCCTGGCCAGGAGCACAGCTAGGCATTTGCCCCAGGGGGTTCGGGCAGGGAGGTCAAGGAGGGTGGTCAGGGGCCAAAAGCAGGGTGCAATTTGGCCAAGCTGCTCAGGTTGGGGAGGGGAACAGAAGCACCTGGGTGGGGACAGAAGATCTCTGGGTAGCAGGTGCCTCTGCTGCTCTCTCATCGATCCCATAGGAGCTGGTGCTTTGGAAAGGGAAGACATGGGGGAAAGGGCACAGTGCTTTTAAACAGGGCTGGCTCCAAGGCCAGAGACCAAGCAGGAAGACAAGACGGGCTGTGGCTGTGCCCCACAGGAGCCACGGGGATGTAGACGACTCCGTTGGAGGCACTGGGCCGTCTGCCAGCAGGAGTCAGAGATGACACTGTGGCCCCCCACTGCATCAGGCCATGAGGTGACTCAGAGGGTCAGGAGAAGGGGAGGCCAGGGCACACAGGGAGACTGGGGCAAAGCTGGGGGCCTCGGAACACCCCAGGAAGAAAGGGACCCCTGCCAGGCCGTGCCGGAGCGCAGGATCTGGAGGACACGGATGTCCACCTTGTCCATCCTGTCTTCTCTCTGAAAGTAAGGGGTCCAGTGTCCAGAGAGCATTAGAGCACCGACCACTGGATTTCCAAGGGTTTTCCCAGTCCAGACGCCAGTCACAGTGTGCCAGGTGTTGCCTGTCCTACCCCTTTGGCAGGAGCAGGCAGGTGGGGCCTCCAGCTGGACCCAGAATTCGCCAGTTACAACCAGAAAGGCCTTTTTAAACTGCTAAAGCAGAATCCACTTCATGTTTTCAGTAGAACTGAAAGATATTCACATTACACATCCATTTATTTGTGGCTGCATGAAATCCATTTTCCTAATCTTTAAGATTTGTGATTTATTGAATTTTTGCCTGAATTTTATGGGCTATTCCTCCCCTCTGCACTTGCTGGAAGGGCTGCATATGGCTGTGACTTGCAGCAGCTCAGCCAGGAGACACAACAGCATCTGGGACAGCAGAGGGACACGGCACTAGCCAGCCCAGCACCCCAGGACTGAGTGCCCAGTCTGCACACCATGGGGTAGGACAGCTGGAGGGCACAGCGGGACCAGAGTGGGAGCCATAGAACTTTCTTTCCCCCAGTGCAGGGCCATTGCCCATCTCCAGAGCCCAGGCAGGTGGCTCCCCCGCTGTCCGCCGGCCTAGTTCTTTTGGCCTCATGTGTGTGACGAGGCTTAGCTCACCCCAGGCCCCCCGAGTCTGCTACAACAGAGCTGGGGGTGCAGGACTGACACTCACATAAGTGTGGAAGATTCTCCACCAGTGATCTTGAAATGGGTTCTTTTTTAACCTGCACAGTAGAAGACACGGGTCCAACCCCACCTCCGCCGTGTCCCAGCTGAGTGAGCCAGCGCACTCACTGGGCAAGTCACTTTGATTCTCTGAGTTCCC